CAATAGCAGGGAGACCAGGATTGAACACAATATTCCAAAAGTGGTCAAACAATGTCCTGTGAATATCTACTGATTTCTATCTTGAAAGTTGCAAGTGACCTGCCCCAACCCAAATAATTTTTTGGGGAAGACAGTTGCACATTTCCATTACCTCAACTTTCCAAATCTAGGGAAATGTCAAGTCAACATAACTTCTCTTCACAATTTAACATTTCAGACCTGATATTACTCTGAACAATCTGTAATGCACCCCATCAAAGGCTCAAAACATTGGATAATTCTATACATTCCTTTCACACTTTTGAATTCCCAACTCTCAAGATAACAATCCACCAATTAAGTGTTTTCTTTTCTTTTTAAACCCATTCCCTAGCTTTTTGTGATTTCCCTTTGCTCTTCCACAATCTCCAAATTGCTCACCCTTAAAAAAAAGTTTGATTTGTCTTCCTCAGATCCAAAGTGGATGACCTTGTACTTCCCCACGTAAAATTCCCTCGGCCATTGTTCAGTTGCCTCAGTCAATCCAATTGGGTCTAATTTGGAATCAATCCATAACATGGTCATCTGCAAAATTGACTATACAACTTCCCATTCGTTTATCAACACCATTAAAATAGGTGGAGAGTAAAGAGATAAACAATGTGTGGAGTGGTTATTAAATAATCAGACCAATAGTATTGAGGTCTATCCAGACAATGTGAGTTTGAATGCCAACATTGCAGTCTCAGAATTTGAACTGTGTTATTTTTCGTCTCCAATCTGGAAAAAAAATGCAGAAATCAGTAAAACTGACTGGTTCACTAGTGCCCTTTAAGCATAGTATCCTTACCTGTTCAGGTCTTATACATGACTTCAGCCCAACTGTCAATCTAACTAATTCATAACTACCATCTGAAGTGACCAAGTAAACCCTACAACTGAATTAAACTATTACCAAATAAAAACCAAAAGAACTGTGGATGCTGGAAATCAGAAATAAAAACAGAAATTGCTGGTAAAGCTCAGCAGGTCTGGCAGCATCTGTGAAGAAAAATCAGAGTTAACATTTCAGGTCCAGTGAGCCTTCCTCGGAATGCTGCCAGACCTATTGATCTTTTCTAGCAATTTCTGCTGTCGTTGTTAAACTATTACCAGCTGTTCAAGTATATGGCTTACCACCATTATCTCTGGGTACCTAGAAGATGTGCAATAAAATACCAGGCTTGTGAGCAGCACCCATCTCCTCATAATGAATAAAATATAAATGTCATATCAAACCATAGGCAGTGCAGCAAAAACTCAGAATTGCTTCTTTAGTTAAATTTTACAGCACAAAAACAGGGCAGAGCAAACCTTCCAGCAACATCCACAGGTTCGCTGAAATACCTTGACACATTACAAATACCACATTTTTCAGACTGTCAACTTTTGTTTTGTAAATATTAGAACTTCAAATGAAGGGTTGTAATTTTGAAGAGAGGGGCAGAGGTGCCATGGAATGGAATGCATAACAAGCACTCCCAACTCAGGTATAAGTAAGTTTTTCATTTCCAAATCATCCTTTACAACCTCAGGGCTGTTCCAAAGCACTTTACAGCCAGAAAAGTACATTTGGAGTGTAGTCACTGTTGCAATTTAAGAAATAGGGCAACCGAGACAGTCAATTATATACAGCAAGCTTTCAAAGACTGCAATGTGATAGCAGTTTTGATTTTAGTAGTACAAGTTGAGGAACAAGTATTGGTCTCAGAAATCAGAAGAAATTCCTCTTTGGGATTTTTTTAAACATCTAATTAAACAGGTAGATGGGGGTAGAAATTTAACATCACATCCAAAAAACAGTATCTTGCTTGGTTACAAGCATTTAGCCTAGACTTTATGCCCGTGTAAAGTACAACCAGGAGCAGAGTAAAGTCACTCTGGCTGCTTTAATAATGTTACTCGGAAGAGAAACCCACACGTTTTTAACTTCTCCACATCAGCCGTGCCATGTTATTTTATTTAGTGATAAATTAGGGCTATGATTTGTGAACTCATCGTACGTTTCTTTTGGCTCTATTGTAGGCATTAACAGATTCTCAGCAACAAGCAAGCTGTCTTTTGCATTGATAATTGCCACCATCTTTCAGAAGTTAAGATAGAGATTGCTCAGAAGTACAGCAAATTCTCAAGGAAATCAACAACTCCATTTTACAGCTGGGTCAACCTGTTTTGCTACACACAACTTTTGCTAACAGTGCTCATTATTCACCAGTTCTCACATTGATAGCCTGTATGTCTTGTCCTGTTGATAGCTTTGAGAGCCGCTCACTTAGCTGTCCAATGCATCACTAACATATGGAATCTTACTGTGCAGAAGGGGCTATTCATAACACTTTAACAATGCCAGCTCTTCGAATACAGCTTTTCAATTTGTCCATATTTCCTCCAAACCAGTATTTACTTTTCCTTTGCAAATATATACCCAATTCTCTTTGAGTGTTACCATTGACATGCTTCCACTGTCTTTTCATACAGCACATTCCAGGCCACTGTAACTTACTGTGTAAAATGAAAGTTTTCCTGAATCTATCTTTTGTACTTTTACCAACTAACTTCAATCTGTTTCCTCTCATTGCCAACCATCCCTATCGAATTTACTTTTCCAACTGTGGCTTTCACTGTCTCAGGTCTTGAACAGATTTTGTGTTGCAGAGCACAGAAGTAGCAGAGTAATTCTTTGAGCTCCACTGAATCATCAATTAAATTGGATGCTCACATTAACGAGAAGGCCCAGAAGACAGAAACAGCCTCAGACAACTTCTGTTCCAATGCACTGAAACTGCTCTTAGGTGTCAGCTGTGACCAGGTCCCACTTCTATTCCCAAGAAGCTATTATCGACAAAACACCAGATGTGACCTTTATTCCAATGCACACTAAAGTGGGGCTTAGCACACTACTGTGAGTTAAAGAGGGGAGATGTAAGAATTAGAATCCCTACAGTGTGGAAACAGGCCCTTTGGCCCAACAAGTCCACACTGAACCTCACACCCAGATCCATTCCCCTATGACCCACCTAATATACACCCTCTACCTCCCTAAACACTATGGGCAATTTAGCATGGCCAATCCACCTAACCTGCGCATCTTTGGACTGTGGGAGGAAACCGGAGCAAACCTGGGGAGAACGTGCAGACTCCACACAGACAGTTGCCCAAGGCTGGAATCGAACCCAGGTCCCTGGTGCTGTGAGGCAGCAGTGCTAGCCACTGTGCCACCGTGTCACCCTACAACTAAGCTACAACTTTTAAAAAATTACACACACAGAGCAAAGGCTTATCTATTTCCAACATGTTGGACAAATAATTAACTCCCATTTCACATTCTAACAGCCAATGGCAAAGGTATAATTTGAGAATTATGCACAAGCCATTTAACACAGAGAAGGCAATGTTAATTATCTAATGCATTGTATCTTTTCTACGCATTCAGCAGCTTTTACAGCATCCACAGAAAAATCAACCTCTTGTGGAATTGGAAACTGTTGACAAAGCACAGAAACTGGCTATTCTGCCCAACTTTCCACAGTGGTACTTACATTCCACATGAGCTTCCACGTTTTCATTTCACCCCATCAAAACATTCCATTTCTTTCTCCCTCATGTTGATGCCTGTATATTAATATTTTTATTTTTATTTTTACATTTTTTTTACACTATTCAGCTCACATTCTTGCCACTCTCTAGATAAGATTTTTCCTGAATTTCCTATTGGGATTTATTAGTGACTGTCATGGCTCCTTATTTTTGGTTTGCAAACAAGTAGTAGTATTATCATTAAGCCTACCTGTTCTTCATTGTAAATATCACTATTAAGTTACCATGTGAACACTTTTGGCCCCTTTATCTAAGGAAAGCTAAATTTGCATTGGAGGTAGTCCATACAAGATTCACTTGGCTCATCCTGGATAAGGAGGGATTTTCTTATGAGGAGACATTGAGTTAGTTGGGCTTGTACTCATTGGAGAATGAGAGACTTAATTGAAACATACAATATTTTTGGGTTTAACTGGAAAAGTTGTTTCGCTGTGTGGAAGGACCTAGAACCAGAGGGCACCAACTTAAGACAAAGATGACGAGGAATTTGTAGAATTGTAACAGCAAAGCACTATATAGATTGGGTCATTAATTATGTTGAAGGCTGAGACAGATTTTGATTTAGTAACTGAAACAAAAGTTATGGGGGTAAAGGCAGCAAACTGGGGTTGAGACTTATCAGATCAGCCATGATCGTATTAATCTACTTCTGCTTCTATGTCTTGGAGTCTCAGTCTTCCCTATCATAAAGAGAACCTCAGCCTGTCCCTTTTTATTTTACTAACTACAATCTCTCCGTTCTGGTATCATCCTTGATATCCTATTTTGCCCCTTGGTGCCTCTGTTTTTAGAATGTAGATTTACACTTTGAGCTAGACATGTTTTGGGGGGTGGTAATCCCTTCACTTACTGAAGGGTTAATGGTGGGATCGCCCTCGAATTCCCAGACCAGTGTGGGTGGGGGTGGGGTGGGAGGGTAATAGGATATGTTTCTATTGCTTTCACTCACAAACATATCGAAAGCTGACAAACACTTAAATGATAAGCGCTTGAATGCTATGAACTTAAAGTCTTTCCGAATCCCACATAACAACCGCGTGTGATAATTAGAATGGAGCATTTTACAAAGGTCTTGAACGCGGTGGAAAAGCTTTAAAAAACAAAATCCTGGTTAGGAAGTTGAGGGCTACTATAACCAAATTGTGGCAAAGGTGACAGATAACAGGAGTTAAACGGCAACAGAATACAGGGTTCTAACTTCACCACCTGCTGTGGGTGAGGTTTAAACGCATTTCCCACAGCATGCTAGCCTGGGTTTAAGATTACTAGCCCAGTGATATTACCGCTATGCTACCCCCGCCCTGCCATTTGCTTCAGTTTGTTTTAACTATTAACCGCTGGGCACGTTCCATACATAAGAATACCTGGTAAACATCAAGCAGCAATTTGCAAACGAAAAAGGGTTACATTTATTACAATTTGTTTCATTACAGTGCCGTTCTATTAAGGGAAGTAAACATCATTTGAAATGTATCCTCCCATCGTGAAGTTTGTGTGGATGAATTTTCCCCCTTTACTAACTCATTGCTCACAGCTTGGCTGTCCCTGAGACGGTGCTTCTTGTTCCCTGCCGCTTCCGAAGGCGCTATACCAGAGACTCGGAGACTGGGATGGTGTCAGAATCCTGACTGTTCATGGAGCTAAGGCCAGTGTCCGAGTCTTCATCAGGGACCTGGCAGCTTGTGGACACACCCCCGGGGTCAAGCCAGACGCTGCTGCTGTCCAAAGCGGAGGTGTCCTGAGGGTCACTGGCCTGGGGACATGTCCTCTCCTCCTCCTCCTGCTGCTGCTGCTCCCCGTCCAGTCTCAGCAAGTTGAGTTGCTCCAGCAGGCCGTGCAGCTCGCTGTGTTTCTGCTCGCACAGCCTCTGGCTAGCGGCCAGCTGCTTCCTGCACTGTTCCAGGTCGGTGTCCAGCCTCAGGCCGATGTAGAAGCTGGCGCTGAGCTGGGTGCGGAGCCTCTCTTGCTCCAGGAAGGGGTCATCCCCGGAGCTGGGCTGGGACTCGGGCTCTTCCCGGCGGCTCCTCAGCTCCTGCTCCAGCTCCAGCTCCAGGCGGAGGCGCTGCAGCTGCTCGTGGCGCCGGGACAGCTCCCGCTGGAGGCGGGGGAACTCCGGGCAGCTCGGGGCGACCTCCTGCTCCTGCTCCTGCTCCTGCTCCTGCTCCGGGGGGTCCATCAGGTAGGTGTCCTGCACATAGTTGACCCCGTGCCTCCTCATCCTGTCCTGGTGGATCTTACTCTCGTAGCGCTCGATCTCCCTGTCCAGCTCCCGGATCCTGTGGACCTGCTGGCGGAGGGTGTGATCCTGAGAGAGGACCAAGTGGACCAGGGTCTCCATGGTGTCAGCCCCGGGCCCGGGGGGTGCTCCCCGCTTCCTCTTGGCCCGGTTGAGCTTGGCCAGCTTGCGGAACGCTTTGCGGACCACCCGCCTCTGCTTGTCGTGGGGCAGTGCCAGCGTAAGGCGAGCCGGGCCCCGCAGGGACGCTCCCCCTTGGCTCAGGACCACCTTGGCCTCGGCGCTGCGGGGCCCCGCTGCTCCTCCTCCGGCCGCCGCCGCCTGGCTCTTCAGCAACACGAAGGTGACCCTCTCCCTCTCGTCTCCCCAGGCGTTCCACAGCCTGAGGATCCTGGTCTTGTCCGGCAGGGTCCGCTCGAAGCCCCTCCACTTCTCCACCAGGCAGTAGGAGGACGGCTCCCCGGACAGAGCCGGGCTCCCGCTCCGCCGGCTCTCCTCCAGCAAAGCGGCGACCACATCGGCGCAAGTGGTCCGCCTGGTAAGCCCCGAGACCAGCTTCTCTTCCTGGCACAGCCAAACGCTCAGTTTGCACTTCTCCTGAGCCTCCATGCTCCTCTCCCCTTCCTCACAGAACCCACTCCCAAACAAGCTTGCAGCCCCTCAGACACCTTCCACCTTCTCCTCCCTGTCCCGGGCGCTTGCTGCTCCCAGCCCCACTCCCTGTCAGGATGTGACAGATCTCCTTTGACAATAACTGGCCCGCACACTTATCCACATCGGATCACACACGCCCCTTTTCCTTTCCTCAGGATTTTTAAGACATCTCCAATCGCTTCTATTTCGACAGGAACCGACCAGACCCCACCTCCGCCAGACAAACTTTTTAAAAAAAGTTTCCAAACTCTCAATAACATCGAGCACCCGAATCCCCACCCCACGAAGACGACAGCGAATGGGGACTAAAATCCTGAAACTCATTCATACAGCCGAGCTGGGTTCCAGTAACTCAGAGACCCTGTCAAATTGACAGCACGGTCGCCCTCTGCAGTCTGAAACTTTCGAATCAACCTGTTCAGATGTGACAAAGCTTTGCAGCAGGTGGAACTTAAACCCGGCTCTTCTCTGGTCCCTTAAAGATTGACTGATGGGCTCCTTTATTTTAAAAAAGAATAATTATTGTTCACCTTTAAAATCAGAAAGCGCTGGAGAAACTCAGCAGTATCTGTGAAGAGAAAATAGTTAACATTTATTTTTTATCTCAGACTTGCAGCGTCCGTAGTATGACGGTTGAGCATTGACTTTTGTCCGAGAAATATAGTTGGAATTTTCATTGCACAGTTAAAGAATGGTGCTTGAGTAACTACACCAACACACAGTCCCCAGCCTGGGTTGGGTTGTACGCATTCACTGATATGACCCACTAAACCACCTTCTCCCACCTGCAGTCTAATACTCTGACGACCTGTCCATTAGTTTGCCGTTTAATTTCAAACAAACAAAGGATGCTGGAGAAACTCTATCTGTCGTGAGAGAAAGAGTTAACGCCCCGTCTGTGTTTGTTGCAGTTTGCCACCAACCGCGGTATGTTTCTCTTTTTTTTAAAACCAGTTTAACTTCAACTCGGTTTACATTCGTGTCCGTTATTTCACTAGTGGAAGTATTAACGCACTTTCCTGCTTCCCCGAGGGAGTGATAACATTGTTTTTTGGCAGGATACAGTCGGATTGTTAATAACAGGCTCAATACAAATTTCCGAATTATTTGTGTTTTGTAAAACTCTTTGAAACTCTCTAATTCCACTGCACCCAGAACAATATACATGGCTTTCTCTACAGAGGGGGAAAAAAAACCTTTGAAAAGTACCACAAACACTCGGATATCTTCACTTGGGCAACTTTCAATGAATACGCCTTGTAAAACTCGAACAAGGCTTCAGGTTAGCTGTTGAATAATGACAGCGGACCTGCTGAAATAGTACAACAGGCTCGCTTACAAATCAGTGCATCTGGCAGCATTTATTCTGTCCTTCTTTACATCTTGTGTTTAATAGGGTTTCAGATTAAACCAGGTCTTTGCTCCGAATATTTTTTTTTATCTGAAAGCTGTCCCCCCACCCCCGCCGGTATAAACTTTCCAGATCAGCTTCATGTGTGATATTTTTATAAGAGCTGATCTAAAAATATAAATAATGTCCCTTCACCACTGCGTACAACAGAGTTTCAATCCATTAACAAACGCTAACGAGCGTTTAATCAGAAAGCTTTTAAAATATTTGTTCATCAATATTGTGTTCGCATTGATTGACGCTTTTCAATCGATTCCCATTCAAATGAACGGGGCTAACAATGACACCGTCATCTATTCTTCAGGCAGCCGTCTCTCATTGGAGAGGACCTTTACAGGGTTCTGTCTCAATCCATCACTGACATTGTTCTGTCTGTTTAAGCGAGTCATCTCGTCTCAATGGATCTCTTGTTATTCGAAAGCAGATTTCGCCTCCTGCCACCACAAAGACTAGAGGTGGGTTGCAGAGGAGGAGGGAGTTGGTTTGGCGAAACAGAACATTACAATATAACAGCCTTTTGGAAACGGAATGTGCTCCATCATTCTGCTAACGGGTGATGTAACTTTACTAAAGTAATGACATCAATCGACTGGACCTTATTTAAAGGGACTCTGTCAATGACGGGGATGGGGGCGGTGAAAGTTTAGAAAGAACTTTCAGATGTGGAGCTCTTCCAAACAACTGAAGCACTTTCGGATATTAAAGGTGCTATATAAAGGTCACTTGTCGTCATTGGTGTGATAAAGCTGGGGTCAATTAGTAATTACAAGACTAGGATTGATAGATTTTGTGGTGATAAGGTTGAGAGAGGCAGGGAGCCCAGGTGAGCTAAGATTCAGATCAGATGTAACATAATTTATGGTAAATGAAGCTCCTGGTGCTGAATGCCACCTCCTGTTCTATATCTTACACATTTTGTGTCATTCACAAGGCAGCAGGCAACACATGCATGTTCTCTTTGACCTAGTAAATAGTAAAGTCACCACAGTCCTACCAGACTGAAAGGCTGTTCCCTCATTAGGGAGAAAGAGAGAGACAGCTGGTGTTGGTTTAACATCAGGTGAGGGAAGAGGTTGAGAAAGAGTGGGTTTAGGGGATATGGGACAAATGCTGGCAAATGGGACAATATTTATTTAGGATATCTGGTCTCATGGATGGGTTGGACCAAAGGGTCTGTTTCCGTGCTGTACATCTCTATGATTCTATAAGAGTCCTTTGTGATAACCTCAGCCAGTGTGAGAATTGAACCCATGCTCTTGGCGTGACTCTGCATTGCCATCCAATCAGCTAGGAACAGCATGGCTTAAATTCCTTTGTTAGATTCTATGAGTAAAGCATTATCTTCTAGCTATCCACTCCCATTTTTCAATTGATAATTCTGTCAGAAAACTCTTAGAGCCACTTCACCAACCAGTAGAAATTATCTACTTAACCTTGTGAAATTATTTTGAAATTAAACATTTCCAGGTTTCTAAAGATTCATGCAACTTTTAGAACCATTAGTTTTTTTAAGAAAATTTCTCTTTATTGACTGTTCATTAAAATGCAAATCACTGAAAAACATGACAACAAAATCCAGAAATTAGAATCAAAAGAAAGTAGAGTTCAAGGGCAATGATTTACCATAGCCATTTTAAAGTCTCAGTGAGAGTCTTGAAGAATATATTTTCTGCCAACACGTAAAGCCCTAAAGTGTTTTACAAATAATTAACTTTTTTTGAAGTGTGATTAGTATAAAATGTAGGAAATTTGTGCACAATTATTTCCCCAAAACAGCAAAGTGGAAACTACCAGTTAATCTTTATTGATTAATATTGATAATCAATAATAATCAATGATGATTGAAAGTTTGGTATTAGCCAGGACACTGGGGACAACTACCCTGTTCTTCTTTGAAATAGTAGTCATGGAATCTTGTACATTTACCTGAGAGGATTTTCTCTTTCTGTACTACACCACTGTATTAGCTATTATTTTGTGCTTAAGACTCAAGTGAGATTTGAACCCACAACGTTTTGATGCCTGGACCAAAGTGTAGTATGGAGTCAGCTGGTGTAGAGAGTCAATAGATATGATTAATTGTTGACACTGCCATAAGTCATCAATTGGCTCTGGTCATGATTCTTAAAAGCTTCAACAACTGTATAAAGGGTTCTGTACATTTTTTTAAAATGAAAAGCAAGTATGATCCTTCCGCATGAGAAGATGTGCCTGCTGCTGTTTTATTTGCTGGCTTATGCTGTCCTCTGGTGGAACATTAAAAGAATTGCAAAACTTTTCAGTTTTCACTGAATATTTACAATTACCAAAAGAGATGTAGGAGTTTCGTATGATTTACTTAGATAGGTGCATCTATAGTCTAGATGAATGGGTGTAAAAGTGTCATTAGAACTAAACATGTTTCCAACACACTTGCCATTCAACCCAGCATACCAGTGCTGGCTGTTAGATAAAATAGTTCAAACTAATCCTCCCCGGGAAGAGAAGAAAGACGGGGTCCTCACTTTAGTATCTCTTTCAAAAGACAGCACCTCCAATAGTGCAGCACTCCCTCAGTCCTGCAAAGGAGTGTCCACCTGGGTTATGCAATCACATCTCCAGAGTTAGATTTGAACCCACAACCTCTGGATTCTGAGGTTACAGTGTTATCCAGTGAGATACAGCATTACGGAAAAAGCTTGCCTGTCGTTGAAAATGCTACATTACAACCTCTTGCGCAATGCACGATAAGGCAGAAATATCTCAAAGAGAGGGGAAGAACATTATTTCTCCTTTTCAATCCAAATATTCACCTCAGAAATGATAAGCCAGTCTGTCTGATCCTCTGTCACCAGCGCACGTACACATTCCATTGCCTCAGAGAAATGGTTTGTAACATTTTCCATTTCAAACCTTCCTGCATCAAATGTGCCAAGTTGACTATATGTTTTGCAGCCCTGATGATCATTTTCTGTTGCCTTGTCTCTTCCCACCTGCAGGATCCCAGAGCGGAGAATATCCCCCTTGTGTTCAGGAGATCCAGTCAAAACACAGATTTTACTGACCTTAACTGGGTGCTCAAAGACAACAAGGAAGTAGTTTCCCTCCTTAAGGGACTTACCCCAGAACTGACCAACTCCTAATTCATAAGCTTTGGCAGGCAAATACTGCTCATAAACTGGGATATCAGTGAAAACCAATGCAGGGGGGTTGTCAGGCAAACTACCCATATGCTCCTGGAACTCATCATCCTTCAGCTTGTTGTGCTTACCTTGAAATGATGAGTATGTGCCCATGTGTTGGAAGAGGGATGGCTTGAATCTCATCTCATTGGGTTGGGCCTTGGACCTGTGGAAGAGTTCTAACAGCCAGTCACAAGGCATTTCATCGTAGAACATCAGCAGGAACCTGGCCAGTTTGGGAAGGTCAACACTGTGGTAGAGTTTCCCAATGTAACCCAACTTTGAGAAGGTTAGAGTTGTCCACGATGAGCCCTTACTCAAGTTGATAAACTTCTTCATGGAGGAAAGGAAGTTTTTAGCACAAAAAACATCATCCTCTAACATTAAGTAGTAATCAGATAGTTCAGAACAAAAATTGACCAGGAAAGCATAGTCCACATTCTGCTTTGACCTGAATTGGACTCTTTCCTGAGGGTCATTGTAATTTCTCTTGAGACCCGCTAGTCTTGGATAAATGTGCTTTGAACACTGAATGACAAGTAGATGTCCTGCACTGATATGTGATGTAAACTTGGCTTTGATCTCTTCAGTAGTCTTTAAATTCCAGGACACGTCAAAATCAGCAAGGTAAATCACCACCACCATCTGTTCCAGCTCTTCATAGCTAGACCTCTCAAAAATGGACTGAAGTGTGTCCATCAAGTAGTTTTCTCTCACTCGTTTGACCGTTGAGATCCCTATTGACAAGAATTCTTGAGAGACCAAAACAAAATTTCAGAATTCTAGATTTTATCATAAACCCTCTTGCTTAGAATTCTAAGAAAGAACACGCAACTGGACAGAATTTGTTGGGAACATAATAGCATTTAATGGAGCTCCCTGTTATTAACACTGTAAATCAGCCAATGACCTCTGACAAAGAAGAGGTACGCAATGCATTATGAAATGCCACACATTGCTAGGTGATTTCCACCACTATATTTCAAGTCCTGTATATGCCCCTGTGTTTCATAAGATTGCACATTAGTTATCCATTGAACTCATTGCAGTAACATAGGGCTGCTTATTAATAATGTCAGGACAGTTTTAGTGAGATCTGTCTTCCTACAATTCTACTAACCTCTTTGGCCCAGAAAGCTGTTCAATCTCAATCCTGCAGATATGCAATTATTTAGAGATTTTTGTTTTAAAAAATTACATTTTCAGACCATCTTCTTCTTTCCTGTCTTTTTTTCTATTAAATCTATTTGTCCTTCCCTTTAATTTTCTTTCTGGACCTCATTTGTCTCCAATTTGCTTTTTCCTGTTCCTCTGTTTCTTTTCAATCCCTAAATCTCATTGGTGAAAGTAATAGACTATTGGCCCCATCATTCACTGATGTCCCAGATGCCACACTGTCCTTGGTGTACCCTTGACAGTTCACACTCCCAGCAAGTTACAGTGCAAAACCATTTAAAGTTGAATGAAGCATAAAATCATCTTACTAATGGGGCAAGATGTGCAGCAAAATCTGAGCCAATATTTTCTACCTATCAAGAAAAGTTGAAAAGATATATTACATCAACTTGGTTTCGGCTCATCAACTTGGCCCACACCCCAAAGTGTACACTGATCCACATTGACCCATTGTCAGGAGTGGAGCCAACATTAAATTATTCATCCTTGAGTTCAAATCCATCCATGGCCTCATCCCCTTCTACCTCTCTAATTTATAATTTAGGGCCTAAGGAACCAAAGACAGAATTGCCAATAGAAGAGGGATGGCAAGACAGCCAGAATTAAAGGCGTAAAGACGGTTTGGTGCTGCAGGAGATTGCAGAGTAGGGAAATGGACTAGACCATGGAAGATTCTAGAAACAAGGATGAGAATTTTAAAGATCAAGACATGCCAGACTGACAGCCAATGTATTTCAACACAGGAAAGGATTATAGATGAATAAGAGTTAGAATACAGAAGTGAGATCTGGCACGAGCGTATATTAATCCAACCAGATGATGTGAAGTTGGTCAGAAGATTATTGGAATAGGCATAGAGGTCTAACTGGAGCACATGGTTGATGGTGCAAGGAAGGTACTTTATGTTCTGATAATCCATCCTCACTCTAGTTCATAAATAATGTCTAAAAGAGGTCAAAAACTATCAAAATGGAGGAGTTGGAAACAAGAGGTAAATCTGTGTTTCAGGACTGGAATATGTGTTCAGGAAGATAGGGCTAAATGGATTATGCACGAGTTATGGTGCTGCAGTGAAGAGGTAGTGGTGGTGTTGAAGAGTCCTATTGGAATTGAAACATTATGTTTCATTCTTTACGGTTGCTGCCAAACCTGTTGAATTTTCCATAGTATTTTGTTTTATTTCATATATAGTGGTTTCATGATTATAATACTGGACTAGTAATCCAGAATCTACAGAACATGAACTCATATCCCGCTATGGATCATTAAAGAATGTGAAATGTAAAGCTGGATCAATAAAAATAACTATGAAGTTGAGGAAGGGTCTGAGGAAGGGTCACCGGACCCAAAACGTTAACTCTGTTTTCTCCTCCACAGATGCTGCCAGACCTGCTGAGCTTTTCCAGCAACTTTGTTTTTGTTCCTGATTTACAGCATCCGCAGTTCTTTTGGTTTTTATGAAGTTGTTGGATTGTTGTAGATATTCAATAATATGCTTTAGGAAAGGAAATCTGCAGTCCTTACATGGCCTCAGGCTAAATATTACTCCAGTCCCACACCAATTTAGTTGGCTCTTAAATAGCCTAGTGGAACATAGGATGACCTTGGAGATAAACAACAAAATACTTGCCTCCTAGGTGTTGCCAATATCATAAGAATGAATAACCTTTCAAAAATATAGGGGTCTTGTGATGCAGTGGTAGTGTCCCTCTGTCTGAGCCAGGAGGCCTCTGTTCAAGTCCCACCTGCTCTAGAGGTGTGTAATAACATCTCTGAACAAGTTGACTGAAAAACATCTAACCTTTCAAAACAAAGGGGAGGATAATGTGTTTGAAGGGAAAGAACCTTAGTTTCAATCCTCTGGAAGACAGGAATTCAATGGTGGGTAGATAAGTGATGGTCCTCCATTTGGGGCAATGTACTGAAAGATGCTGGTGGCAGGGGGAGAAATAGACTGGAGAAGCCTGGCCTGTGTTCCTGTTGTGCATTATCTTAAATAATATCTACAAAGTAGCTGACTAAAGAAATAAAATTTCTCATGAAAATTCAGTATACTTACTTCTACTCTTAGGAGCAGTCCCTGCTAAATAAAAGTAAGAAATATTCAAAGGGTGGGAAAACGTGATCTCCACTGGTGAATTCTGCCATTGTTGTTTGCGGATTTTCCCCAGTTCTCCACTGTTATTTTTTTCATTCCAAGCAATGTTCTAAAATCAAGGATTGTAAAATCAAAGAAATGCATGAGTCAAATCTTTTTGAGGAATCATAAGACTAAAATAAGAACTTACCTAGACCAAAATGGAATACTGTGGTTCTATATAAGAATAAGGAACTGTAAATCCATGACATAGAACATAGAACAGTACAGCACAATACAGGCCCTTCGACCCACAATGTTGTGCCAAACTTTTACCCTAATCCTAAGGTCTATCTAACCTCCACCCCTACCTTATACTATCATCCATATGCCTATCTAATAGCCGCTTAAATGCCCCTAATAAGGCCAACTCCACTAACCTCTCCGTCAATGCATTCCACGCCCCTACCACTCTCTGAGTAAAGAACCTACCTCTGACATCTCCCCGATATCTACCTCCACTCACTTTAAAGCTATGCCCCCTCGTAATAGCTACATCCACCCTAGGAAAAAGTCTCTGGCTATCCACTCTATCTATACCTCTGATCATTTGTACACCTCTATTAAATCACCTCTCATCCTTCGTCATTCTAAAGAGAAAAGCCCTAGTTCTCTCAGCCTTTCCTCGTAAGACCTTCCCTCCATTCCAGGCAACATCCTGGTAAATCTCCTCTGCACCTTTTCTAACGCTTCCACATCTTTCCTGTAATGAGGCGACCAGAACTGGACACAATACTCCAGATGTGGCCGAACCAGGCTTTTGTATAGCTGGAGCATAACTTCACGGCTCTTGAACTCAATCCCTCTATTAATGAAAGCTAACACACCGTACGCCTTCTTAACAACTCTATCCACCTGGGTGGCACCTTTCAGGGAACTGAACATGAACCCCAAGATCCCTCTGCTCCTCCACACTGCCAAGAATCTTTCCATTAACCCTGTATTCTGCTTTCAAGTTTGTCCTTCCAAAATGAATCACCTCACACTTTTCAGGGTTAAACTCCATCTGCCACTTCTCAGCCCAGCTCTGCATCCTATCAATATCTCTTCGTAACCTAGAACAGCCCTCCGCACTACCATAACTCGACCCACCTTTGTATCGTCTGCAAATTTACTAATCCACCCTTCCACTCCTACATACAAATCATTTACAAAAATCGCAAATAGAAGAGGACCCAGAACAGATCCTTGTGGTACACCACTCGTAACTGAGCACCATGTTGAATATTTTCCGTCCACTACCACCCTTTGTCTTCTAAGGGTCAGCCAATTCTGAATCCAATCTGCCACATTTCCCCCTAACCCATGCCTCCTTACTTTCTGCATGAGCCTACCCTGGGGAACCTTATCAAACACCTTACTTAAATCCATGTATACCACATCCACTGCTCTACCTTCATCCATGTGTTTGGTCACCTCTTCAAAGAATTCAATAGGTTTGTGAGGCATGATCTACCCCTCACAAATCCATGCTGACTATCACGAATCAAACTGTGCCTTTCCAAGTGATCATAAATCATAAAGTGATCATACATCTGTTAATGCCTCAAGCTGTCCCAATGCATTTGCAGACAATGAACATTTTGAACTGTAGTCTCCATTGTACTCTTGAAAATGCAGCAGCTGATTTGTGCACAGGAAGCTCCCACAAACAGAAATGTGATAAAGATCAGAGTTGGTTTTTGTGATGTTAGTTAAGGGAAAAATATGGCTAAGCTAATCCCCTACACTTCTTTGAAATGGTGGCTGCAGGCTTTTCTCCTGTCCACTTGAGAGGGCAGGTGGGGCTTTGGTTATGGCTTCCAATGCTAAAGTGTGCCCTCAGTTCTGCCCCTCCAACATTGTATGTGCCCTCAGTCTGTAACCCCCGACCTCCACCACAAACAGCTGGAGCATCAGACTGGATTCTGGGCTAAAATCTCTGGAGTGGGACTTGAAATCCACAACCTTCTGACTCTGAAGTGACAGTACTATCCAGTGAGCCACAGCTGCCAGTAAACTGGGGAATTTGGAGGCAGGGTGGGAATCTGGTGCAGTGGGGAATATATGCTTTTTGCTTGCTTTTTTGACTCGTGGTTTGTAAGTTTTTCAACAGGATAAATTGAAGCGTAGGATCAAGGGCCCAGTACAAAAGAAAGAGAGACATCACATGAAATTCATAAGTTCATTGGTTGGTTTATAGGTTACTTTCAGACTGAAGGTAAATAGAGGAAGTATTTACAGGTTACAAACTAAAAGACCAGTAGAACATCTTTAAAAATCAAATTAAGAACAAAGTAAATGAAACAGAGATGCAGGCCCAGGTAATGTGTTGTAAGCACATCTGTGGCAAGTGTTGGTTGCTTGAGGAACTCCCGCTCAGAGTTGGTGAGCTGCAGTCTGAGCTTTGAACTCTGTGACACATCGGGGAGGGGGCGTGAGTTACCTGGATGCCGCATTTCAGGAGGCAGTCACTACCTCAAATGCAGTCAGTGGTCAGGGACAGGAGAGTGTGACTATCAGCAAGGCAGGTAGAGGAAGCCAGGAGGTAGTGCTGAAGGAGCCTCAGCCCTTGAGCTTGTCTAACAGGTTTGAGATTCTTGCTCCCTGTGTGGCTGAGCATGGGGGCTGTAGGAAGGATGAGCAAATTGACCATAGCACCGTGGTGCCGGGAACCATTCAAGAAGTGGGGGGAGAAAAAAGAAATGCAGTTGTAGTCGGGAATACTATCGTCTGGGGAATAGACACTGCTCCCTGTGGCCAGGATGAGACTCCCATTTTTGTTGTTGTTGTGTTGTGACTCCGAAAGAGTGTGTTGCCTGTCTGGTGCCCTGGTTCAGGATATCTCATCTGGGCTGCAGAGGAACTTGGAGTAAGTGGGGAAAGATCCGATTATCGTGATCCACATAGATAGTAGCAATATAAGTAGAAAGAGGAAAGAGGAAAGAGGTTCTGCTGAGGGAAAGTAGTCGGGGGCTAAATTAAAATCGAAAAGGTAACAATCTCTGGATTACTTCCTGAGCCACAAGCAAATTAGCACAGGATCAACAAGATTAAAGAGGTAAACACATGGCTGAAAGATTGGTGTAGGAGAAATTAATTTGAATTCATGGGACATTGGCACCAGTACGGAGAAGGAAGGAGCTGCTCTGTTGGGACAGGCTCCACCTGAATCATGCTGGAATGAGAATCACATAACCAAACCTGTGGATAGGGCTTTAAACTAAATAGTGAGAATTGGGGGTTGGGGAGCAGGATTTGTGGGGGTTCAGCTGCATGGAAAATTATGGAAAATGCATTTCCAGAACAAGTAATAGGACTTCAGGAACAGCAGGTAAGGAGACAACTATGAAAAGGGGGGTGGTCAGAAAAGGACCAAGGCTACTGTGCAGTATACAAAACAAGGTAAAAGAGCCTGCAGCATGGATTGAAATGATGTTGTAGGTATCACAGAGACATGGTTGCAAGGGGATTGGGGATGGAACTGGAACAAGGATCGGCATCTGGTTGAAAGGACACATAGATGGGAGGGGGGCGCGGAGTTGCCTTGTTAGTAAGAAATAAAATTAAATTGATAGCAAGAAGTGGCATAGAGTCAGAAGGTGTAGAATCCATGTTGAGGAACCACAAAGGAAAAATATACTCTGATGGGAGTTATGTATCGGCTTTCTAGCAGTAATCAGGATATGGGGCAGAAAAGAAATCAGGAGATAGAAAAGTAAGAAAGGCAATATTACAATAATCATTAGGAACTTCAATGTGCTTGTGGGCTTCGTAGTGGATCCCAGCAAAAGGAATTCATGGAATGTCTGCAAGATAGAGCCCAACAGGGAACAGGCAATTCTGGATTTGGTGATGTGGAATAAGGTAGATTTGATCAGGAACCTCTGGAGGCAATGACCATGATATTAGAATTGACCCTGCAGTTTGAGAGGGAGAAACTGAGTTAAGATGTAAAGGCATTACAATTGAGTAAAGGTAACTACAAAGACATGAGAGAGGAGCTGGCCAGAGTTGATTGGAAGGCATGCCTGGTATGGAAGACCTCGGAGCTGCAATAGCAGGTGTTTCTGGGGGTAACTGGGGAGGCACAGCTGAAATTCATCCCAAGGAAGAAGAAACATACTGAGGAGAGGATGAGGCAAGGGAAGTCAGGGACAGCATCAAAGCAAAAGAAAAAGCATACAATGTGATGAAGATTGGGAAGCCTTTAAAAAAAACAGCAGAGGATAACTAAAAGAGCAATAAAGGGGGAGAAGATGAAATATGAGGGTAAGCTAGCTAGTAATATAAAAGAAGATTGAAAGAGATTTTTTAAAAAAATATATAAAAGGTAAGAGACAGGCTAGAGTGGATGTTGGAACACTGGTAAATGAGGCTGGAGAAGGAGAAATGGGCAACAAAGAAATGGCAGAGGAACTGAATAGGTACTTTGCATCAGTATTCACAGAGGAAGACACCAGCAGCATTCCGAAACCAAAAGAGAATCAGGGGACAGGGGTGAGTGTAGTGGCCATCTTTAAGGAGAAGGTGTGAGGGAAGCTGAAAGGTCCGAAGGTGGATAAATAACCTGGGCCAGAGAGACTACATCCCAGAGTTCTGAAGAACATAGCTGAGGAGATTGTAGATTGGTGATCTTTTAGGAATCACTAGAATTGGGGAGGGTTCCAGATGACCGGAAAATGGCTCATGTAACACCCTTGTTTAAGAAGTGAGGGAGGCAAAACATAGGAAATTAAAGGCTGGTCAGCCTGACCTCGGTCATTGTTAAGATTTTAGAGTTCACTATTAAGAATGAGATTGCAGAGTACTTGGAAGGGCATGGTAAAATAGGCACAGTTTAGTCAAGGGGAGGTCATGTTTGACAAATCTGTTAGAATTCTTCAAGGAAGTGATAAGCAAGTCAGACAAAGCAGAGCCAGTGGCCGTGATCTGTTTGGATTTCCAGAAAGCTTTTGACAAGCTGCCACAGCTTGCTAAATAAGACAAAAGGCCATGGTGTTAGAGACATGCTACTGGCATACATAGAGGACTGGCTTACTAGTAGAAGGCACAGAATAGGGATAAAAGGGTCTTTTTCAGGATGGCAGT